TGGTACAGCGTACACACAAATGGTGTAGCGTTGTGCGAAATGGCTCAGCGTAATGTCAAATGGTACAGCGTACATACAAACAGCGTAGTGTTGCGTGAAATAGCTCAGCGTAATGTCAAATGCTACAGCGTACACACAAACGGTTTAGCGTTGCTTTAAATAGCTCAGCCTTCACGTCACGCCACAAGCAAGTTCGACGATTTGCTACAACATCGAAATATGCTATACTGCAGCTGATCCTTAAACCATCTTTGTATTTACTGATCTATTTAACATCCTTGTATATTTGGTGGTGACGGCCGCCCATATAGGTCGATTTACCTGTTCTACTCTCTCTTCATCAAGCGATCCTACTTCTTAGGGCAATCTTCAGGTGATTGTTGAAAGGAATACGGAATTGCATTCAGTTGCTTTACTTATGGCTGTGATTGGTCGAGAACATCTGCAACGAAACTAAAACTAATCGCGACTTCTCACCCCATTTTTCCCGCGCTCAAGGTGACTTTGTCACTCCATTTTTCCTGCGCTCAAGGTGACTTGTCACCCCATTTTCCGCGCTCAAGGTGACTTTCTCACTCCATTTTTCCTGTGCTCAAGGTGACTTGTCACTCGATTTTTCTCGCGCTAGGGTGACTTGTCATTCCATTTTTCTCATGCTCAGGGCGACTCGTCAATCCATTTTACCCGCGCTTATGGCGACTTGTCTCCACTTTTCTTGCGCCTAAGTAAGTTTGCTCTTTTTTGCCCTAAATCCTCATCGGGTCACTCTCATGTTTACTGTTGATCTAACTGGTGCCTTTTGGTAACTTTGCCTTTGTCAGTAGTCGCCAGTTTGGTAATTTTAAAAAAATGTAATGTGAAAATAAAACTAGCCAGTGATAGGCGTTTTGTCGTTCCGCATGAAAGTAAAACTTCGTGTAGCGTTTACAGGCGGCGAGCTGTGGTAAGCGGTTGACCGTTCACCACTCCTTTTATGTTCTTAAAAGAAAAGGAGCGTCCAGCATTCTATAGGAGGAAAAGAAAAGAGAAAATAAGCACTGAATATCTAAGTTTAATTTTTACTATATAGTTCAAAAGCAACTCTTACTAAAACCGCACCATAGGTTCGCTGTTCCAGGGACTGAATGAGGTGTTGTATGTGGCATTACTCTGTACTAGTTAAAGTTCATTGTGTATGGTAATGTTGTGAACTAGAAATAGGGCACCCGTAATATTGTTAGGAATTAAAATGTTTCTCAAGAGTTCTAACAATTCTTGTGCTTTCTTCGTTAGCTGGAGGTTCTTGAGCTGGACACGAATTCTTATCGTATCGGCCAGTCCAAGATCTTCTTCAGAGCTGGTGTGTTGGCGCACTTGGAGGAGGAACGTGATCTGAAACTGACAGAGATCATCACTGTCTTCCAAGCGTACTGCCGTGGAAACATCGCAAGAAGGCAATATAACAAGCGGGTTCAACAACTGAGCGCTATTCGCGTTATTCAACGAAACTGCCTCAGCTACCTTAAACTTCGCAACTGGCAGTGGTGGCGCCTGTTCACGAAGGTGAAGCCGCTGCTCAACGTGACCAGGACGGACGAAGCGCTTCGCGAAGCCCTTGACCTGAAGAAAGCGAACGAAGAGAAGTTGGAGAAGTCTGAAGCAGCGTACAACGATCTGGAGAGGAAATTCAGCCAGGTTTCTGAGGAAAATGCCATCATGCAAGAACAGCTCGACAGAGAACGCGATGCCTTCCAAGAGGCGGATGACATGCGTCAGAGGCTGCAGACCCGAAAGCAGGAGCTGGAAAACTTGTTGAACGATCAGATGGAGCGATTCGACGAAGAGGAAGAGAAGGTTATTGGTCTTACCGAAGAGAAGAAGAAATTACTGAAGGATATTCAAGACTTGGAAGATAGGTATGTCTGTTTTAAACTTTTCTGGGTCGAGAGAGGAGGTGTGAAGAAGGGTTCGACGGGCGGTTGGAGTCCTTATTAGGAGTTATCACGCGTTATGCGGGAAGATGACCTTCCAGCTATTCAAAATGTGTAATCGTTTGGTTTAACCCTTTACACGCTAACGCGTTTATGCATATTGTCAATACTGTTCTTTATAGATTTCCTAAGGTACTGATTATGAGAATTTGTTTAACAATCAAGAGCTTCTTTAGTTGGTGATCGTTTCCTTTATTCTCCTGACCTAAATTTGTGATTCAGGGGTGATATTGAAGAGAGAAATCAGTCGCCAGTCCTTCTTAGGGGGTGAAAGGGTACAGTAAGAAACATAAGCACAGTTGTAACTGCGATTGTGCGATGGTGAAGAAAATTGAATACTCCCTGGTGTTGTATCCAGGCCCTGCCAGAATTCTCTCTACCTTTGAGCCCCAGGGAACTCGTAAGTGAACGCGTACGTGCGAGTCCTGTAGCAGGAGAGGTTTTCGCATTGTTTAAAAGGGAAAGTTTTCTTCGGGGGGTGGAGGGGTGGGAAAAAGGCACAGTGAGGTCAACCCTGTTTAAAGCATCAAAACAAGGCTAGACCACAGTTGTGGGTGTTCCCTACAGTTTCGCGATGGTAATTTTGTTTTTCCTTTTTTGCCTCTCCTGTGCAGTTTGGAAGAGGAAGAAGCTGCCCGACAAAAGCTCCAGCTTGATAAAGTCTCCGTTGAGGCCAAACTAAAGAAACAAGAGGAAGACCTGACTTTAATGGAAGACTCCAATTCTAAAGTATGTTTCTGACTACTTGAGAGTAATTAGACAGTAGTTTGTGGAGGCACGGTGGCCTCATGGTTAGTGCGGGTTCGAGCCCTGGTCGGGGACATTGTGTTGTGTTCTTAGGCAGGACGCTGTGCTCTCACAGTGCCTCTCTTCACCCAGGAGAATAAAATGGGTACCGGCGAATTTAATGCAGGTGGGTAACCGGCCAGACGGGCCACTTGGCTCTTAAACAGACTTTACCTCAGGCAGTAATTTGCAGAAGAAAAATCAGTACTTTTAGATCGTGTAGTAATCTGTCATAAACACTCTTCTTTCTGGAGTATAATGTGACATCTTTTCCTTACAAGGAGAAAATAACTCTTCTAATTCTTTACTGACAAGGTATGCTTTTATTCGAACAGCTGACGAAAGAGAAGAAATCCTTAGAAGACAAGTTACAGGAGACAAATCAAGCTCTAGTCGACGAGGAAGAGAAAGCGAAGGGCCTGGCCAAACAGAAAGCTAAACACGAAGCCCTCATTTCAGATCTAGAAGAACGACTGCGAAATACAGAAAAGGTAGGTGGTGACTTGGTCCGAAGGTGAATTAGATGTTTTGTTTTGTTTTTTTTTTTTTTTTCGACGTAAATGTCCCAGCGATGGAAAAACAGTCAAGAAATATATACTCGCTTGGAATCATGAGATAGTGTTAAATGACGTATGAGTGCGTCATCACTTGAAAGTTAAGTGTAGTGATACGTCCGAAGTGCATACGTATACTGTGTGTCGATTGTCAAAACCAATGCAATTTATGATTACTTTCGATACTCGATTGAAAATGACTTCCAGAATTTGATATCCTGTATTTATGTCTTGTTAGGCTTTGCAAGAAATGGAAAAAATCCGCCGAAAGTTAGAGACTGAACTCGCCGAAGTCGACCACCAACTTGAAGAAGCCAAACAAACGGTGAGAACTGAGTCGCGTCATTTATTGTGGTTGATGTTCACTGAAATTATGCGTTTATGTAAAACGGAGAAGGAAATTGATAGTAAGCGTTTGTGGAATCTGGATTTATTTTGGTTTTGCTCTCTTTCACCGATATAGTAACATTTATTTTGTGTTTAAGATCCAAGATCTGGAGGCGACCATTCACAAAAAAGACATGGAATTGAATGACCTAAATGCCAGGTATAAATATTATCATAGCGAGACTGTTTTGAAAAAGGGTACATTGTGGTAATAATGTAGATTTAACGATTGATTTGTGGTTCATTCAGGGCTGATGAAGAATCTGCGAAGAGAAGCGAGCTCGAGAAAACCAAACGAGAACTTGACAACCAGCTGGAAGAGTTGAGGGAGGACTTGGAGGCCGAAAAAAATGCGAGGACAAAGGCTGAGAGGCAACGACGGGAACTCGGAGAGGTGGGAAAAAAAAAAACATGATTAGACTGCGCTATTCTCCAGCTCCTCGGGAAAACAAACTTTGTCGGTTTCAGTTGGTAACATAAGAATTCTCGGGGAAAAAAAAATTTTGAATGCTCCGTATCGATTTTAAACCATGATCTTCCGATTAATATGCCAGTGCTCTACCGGTGGGAAAAGAAGGAAGCTACCATGGTGTTAATTGAGGTTAAAATTCAATCATGACGTTTTAGTGCCAAATCTAGATGTTTAAGGTTTCGTTGACTACGTTCTTGTACTGTACTTTTGCTACTGCTGTTTCTGCTGTAATTTTGTAACACAGGGGTTTAGTTTCAAACTATTGATTTTTTTGTTTTGTTTTAAGGAATTGGAGTCTCTCAAGTCGGAACTCGAAGAATCGATCGACACCACTGCTGCTGCACAAGACATGAGGAACAAACGAGAAGAAGAGCTGATGAAACTTAAAAAGAGCGTGGACGAAGAAACTGTGGCACACGAGGCCGCCATGGCACAACTTCGGCAGAAACATACTCAATTAGTGGAAGAACTGAACGAACAACTAGAGACAGTCAAAAAGGTAGCATTTTCTAGTGTTCTTTAAGAAATTCTCTTCTTTGTGTATATTTGCTGGAAGAAAGTCTGAGGCTTGGGAAGTCTTTCTAACAGGTCCGGGAGGGCTAAAACAAAACAGATTCTAGTTCAAAGTGCACGTTTCGTTGAGAGTCTTAAGTTCTTGAAACATTGTGTGAAAAGGAGGTCAAGGTTTGAGAACAAGGGAAGAACCCAAGAGGTATTGTTTTCCGTGTTAAAGTATAACAAAAGGAAGGGGAAGTTTTGGATTTTGGTGCAAATCCTGGACAACTCTATTTCTGCTCAGGCCAATCGAATTATCTCGAATCCTGAGTCTAAAAAAAAAATTGTTGCGCGCAACGTGTTGCACACGTTTGGCCACCCTGTTACAAGCTGTCGGATGATGTTGGATCAAGTTTGAAAATGATTTTTGTTGCAACATTTTTGGATGTTGTAAGACGTTGAGTGCGTTTGGTTAGTTCTTTCATAACATCTAACAACAGGATCCAACAATGTTGCAAGGGGTGGCGTCGAAATATTGCGTTTTCCTTGGCCTTTTGATTTTACACGCCGAAATGTTTGGGAAACCACCTTATGACATCAACGCACAACGACTTTATTCCATGAATATTTACTTGCGAAATCATAGCTCTGTGGTTCTCTTAGGTACTCTCGCTGAATGAATTCCTTTCGTAATTTATCCACTTTGCTTACATACCTCGCACACTCTATTCTTGAACCATTCAACTCCCACGAGTTTGACCAAGATAGAATTTCTCAATGCAATATCAAGCAGACTAGTGAGAAGAATAAACAAAAGTGAATATCAATTGGCTCCAATACCAAATTCTCCATACTGGCATCATAAGAATTGAATGATTTAAATATATATCAACAAAGTTGATGTGGTAAATTGGCCACCGTAACGATTACAAAAGCTGACGTTTCGAGCGTTAGCCCTTCGTCGGAGCGAATAGAGGAATTGTGGGTTGTGTGTGCTTTTAAAGGCAGAAATTGGAGCTACGTTATTGGCGGGAACATGGCAACGAGAAAAACACGAATAAATTAGTGGAATGAAAAGCGTTCGTTGATCCCTGTAGGATTTAGACTGCCAGGTTGTTTTCTTGAACAAAAGCTCATTTTTCAAACTGGCAGTCTAAATCCTACAGGGATCAACGAACGCTTTTCATTCCACTAATTTATTCGTGTTTTTCTCGTTGCCATGTTCCCGCCAATAACGTAGCTCCAATTTCTGCCTTTAAAAGCACACACAACCCACAATTCCTCTATTCGCTCCGACGAAGGGCTAACGCTCGAAACGTCAGCTTTTGTAATCGTTACGGTGGCCAATTTACCACATCAACTTTGTTGATATATATTTAAATCATTCAATTCTTATGATGCCAGTATGGAGAATTTGGTATTGGAGCCAATTGATATTCACTTTTGTTTATTCTTCTCACTAGTCTNATATATCTTATTAACCAAGCGCGAGGGCCGTACTGGGAGAATATCGGCCCGAGGTCCGTACAAAAAAGACCGAGGGCCGATATTCTTCCAGTACGGTCCCGAGCAAGCTTGGTTAATAAGAGATTTATTATACGACTGAAGTTCAAAGAGACACAACTGTGGTATCATTTGGGACAGTGCCCGTATTGGACCGGCAATGGAGCATTTTGATTGGTTGATTTTAGTTATTGACCCTCTGACTGCCCGAGTCGTTTAATAAGGAGAATTACTAGTGAGATCTTGTGAGTGAAAGAGTTAACCCGCTGAATGTTCTATCTGTCATGTTCTTAGGGCAGAGCTCAACTTGAAAGAGCTAAGGCGCATTTAGAGGAAGGCAACACTCAACTGAAAACCGAAGTGGAGGAATTAAGCAGTCGCAAGACTGAGGCTGAACGCAAAGTCAAAGTGTTGGAAAACCAAATCGCTGAGGCGAACGGTAGGCTCACTGATGATGAGCGCCACGTCACTGAGCTACAAAGTGTTACAGTTAAATTGCAGAAAGAGTTGGATGCCGCATCCGCTCTAGTGGAGGAACTTGAATCCAAGTGTTCGATTGCAGAGAGAACGGTGGCCACGCGTGACTCGCAACTCGCAGAAACACAGGTAAAATTGTAGTATTTGTCGCGACCTCAAGTTGCCCAAGAGAGGGGAATTTGCAGTGTTTCGTGTTTATGGTTTGACCCTATTAAGTGTTTACCATATTCAATTAATTATTGTCAATTTTTATCCAAATCAACCGCACTTTTTTCCGAATGAGTTGCCTCAGCTTGCTCATTGATACTGAAAAGGAATACAGTGACCGTCATAGCAAAGGTGCGCTGATTTAGTTTTTCCTTGTTAATCTGGGGCAACGTTAAAACTGTTCGTGATGTTGTGAACTTTTCACGCGCTTAGCCAAGTGGTAAGTCCATTGTGCTTGTCACTGGCTTCAAATTTCTCGCGTTCGTTAATAGTAGCAAGTTTTCCCGCGTTTGGAATCTGTTTCTCGCGCTCCACGCCAGTTTCAAATTTTCCTGCGCTTCGAACCTGTTTCTCGCGCTCCACGCCAGTTTCAGGTTTTCCCACGCATGGCTCCGAATTGCTTCGTGTCTTGGTTGGTGTTATATTCCCTAGGTGTGATTGTAACTTAGAAGATGATAAGAAATATATAACAAGTTACCTAGAAGTTCTTAACTTTTGTGTTAATGCTAAGGAACTTTTATTTCTCAGGAATCTTTATCAGATGAAACCCGCCAAAAACTTTCACTTAGCAGTAAACTTAAAGATTCTGAGACGGAAATAAGTCGTCTGCAAGATCAACTTGATGACGAAGAGGACGCCAAGGTCGCGCTTCAGAAGACCCTCTCTCAAGTTCAAGCGCAAGTGAGTGAAGGAAGGATCTCCATTGCTGAGTTACTTCTGGGAAAAGTGTTAAGATTTATCATTGGTCATTGGATGTTTGGCCCAAGTGCCAAACAGACTAATCATTCAGAATTTCGTCCGTTGCAATTTGGATTGCAAAATACCTTCTTGTTTTTTTACTTTATCAGGTCGGAGAACAAAAGAAACTGGCGGATGATCGCTCTGCACTTCTCGAAGAGGCCGATCAGTCCAAGAAGAAAATGGCACGAGAACTCGAAACGCTACAACAACGTGTGGATGAACTGAGCGCCACTAACAGCAAACTGGAGAAAACTAGGAAACGATTGCAAGATGAGGTCAGTAATAGACGTTATTGCTTTTACTGTTGATCTGATTGGTAATTCGCTTTCTATCTATTCTAACTTTTTTACTGTATGAAAAGAATCCGCTCCTAGGAGGGTTGTGAACTGCAGACAATAAAGATTATAACCTTAACTATTTCTCAAACAGGTCGACGATGTGCAACTCAACTTGGAGAAGGAGAGGGCACAAGTCAGTGCACTAGAGAAGAAACAGAGGAAGTTTGATCAGGTTGGTTTAGCTTTTGAATTGCTCGCGCGCTGCTTGATCCCTTTTGCTTTCCGTCATTGTCTTGTAACGGTAAGAATATAGATTTGCGTGGAAGAGGCAGGATGTATGATGGAGCTAAGAACAAGAGGACAGTGAAAATTTGAAAAAAGTACCAAGAAGCTTTGAGCCGTCCAGTTTTGGAGATTTGTCCACAGCCGTAAAGTTTAGAACCACGTCTTATAGCGTAGTGTGGGCTTTGCTACAGCAGAGCCTGGATGCCATAGGAGACTAACTTTTTACCCTGCGATTATGAAAGCTGTTTAAGTGTTAGGCAGTCCTGATTCGATAGATAGGAGCCCTCAATAAACCACATTCATTTTAAAGAGTAAAGCTTTGAGTTCGTGAAAATGCTTCAGAGTACAGGATAGCCAAGAAGGATTTCGTATCCGGACTTAAAATGAAACAAAATAATTTAGAGTTAATTCTTCAGATTTGAGGTAGAGATTGTTTGTGTCTATTTTCTGTTTTGCAGTTGCTCGCGGAAGAAAAAGCTGTTTCTGAGAAGAACGCTATGGAAAGAGACAATGCTGAACGAGACGCCAGACAGAATGAAACAAAGGTTTGTGTTTAAACTCCAGTTGTCCTTTCATTGATCAACCTTTCATTTATTTGTATAATAACGATAACTTTTTGGGTAGGCAGGTGAGCAGAGCAACAGAACTGATCAGCAAGTAGGAATCTTCTGCTAATGTATCATTTTTACGTCCCTAAACTTGCGTTATTTGGGGCTGATGTCTCATGAAAGCATCACTGCGCATTCTCTATCGTTGCAACAAACTGTATGACAACCAGATCCCAGAGTGTGTCACGGTGTAATGAACTACTACTTAAACCATCTATTTATTATCATTTGCCTAGGTTATTTCTCTGACGCACGAACTAGAGGAGCTTCAGGAGAAGCTTGCTGATGCTGAAAGAGTCCGCAAGAGTGCACAAAATGAACTTGAGGCCATGATGGAAAGCAAAGATGACTTCGGCAAGAACGTGCACGAGTTGGAGAAGGCCAAACGGTTATTAGATACACAACTAGAAGAGAAAAAACAACAGATCGAAGAACTCGAGGACGAGCTGCAGATCACCGAAGATGCTAAACTGAGGATGGAGGTGAACATGCAAGCCGCCAAGGCTCAGTTCGATAGAGAACTGGCCGCAAGGGACGAGCAGAACGAAGAGAAGAGGAAAGCGTTGCTCAAACAGGTGGGGATTGCTTTCACAACGATTACTAAGGGAACGTAGTTGAGGTAAATCTTACTAAAAACCACAATGTGAACAGGAAACTGTGATTGCTTTAGTCTTCCGTTCCATGTTTTCACCATTTCATTCTCAGAGATGATAACTACAAATACAAATAACTCTTCTTCACGAAGTTGAACCTTACCAGCAGAAGAATGTCGAGAATACACAAAATGATCAGGCTCTGCGCGAGCTGGAGGGAAGGGATGGGTCGGGGGGTTTATCTTACCATAATTAAGAAATGTAAAGAGCAATTTTCAACTGACTATCCAAAGCAATCCGGGTTTGCTTAGGTTTGGCTTTACTTCAGTCGCACTGTGATTGGTCCTGAAAATTCGCGCTTCCCTGATGCAAACTTACTCCACCACTCGTTTTCCCGCGCTTTAGGCAGTTTAGTCGGTTTTAGTTTTGGTTCTCTTTGGCCTTTAAAGGTATTTCCCTTTCTTCTCATTGGCTCCATGTGATTACTTAACTTTTGGTCTTGCGACACTCAATCGGAAAGCGCTTTAACACTTTAACTTCTTGAAATTATTAACATTTAACTTCTCCCCATAATATCCATCCAACATCCAGTAAACAGGTAATGAGAAGGCACAGCCTTATCAGGAGGTAGAGATGGTTTATCTTGATCGAACACTTAATTCTCGCAACTAAGGGACACGGAAATGTATAACAGCTAGAGGGAGAATTGGCATTCAGATCTTGGAAGTTTAAGGGTTGAACATGTCAATGATTATTCTTTTGCCTTGGCCTTTCCAGCTCCGTGAACTTGAAAGCGAACTGGATGAAGAGCGTAAGGGCAGAGTTAGCGCTGCTAATGCCAAGAAGAAGATCGAGATGGACATAGTTGAACTGGAAGAACAACTCGAAGCAACCAACCGTGTAAAGGAAGACGGCCTCCGTCAACTGAAGAAATACCAACAGCAGGTGAAGGATATTCAGAGAGATCTGGACGACGCACGGCAAGCGAGAGACGAGATATCTGAACAAGCCAAAGAAAACGAGAGGAAAGCTAAGCAGCTGGAGGCTGATTACGTACAAATGCAAGAGGTACGGAGTTGTATGAGGAATAATGACTGATTTGACCTTCTCCAAAGTTAATCTGAGACAACTCTAATCGCCGCCGAAGTTTGTTCAGATAGCCTGTTACTGACCTCAGTGGTGACGAGTTTCCGTCTTGTTTGGTGATTGGGTAATTGGATTCGGAAATTTGCGAGTATCTGTATGAAATGTTAAGAGATTTAGACGAGTGTTTCATTCTTCTCTTACAGGACGAGAACTAAGTGTAATGTGTTTTTGTTGGTAAAATTGTAGTATAAAATGACAGAACCATCATTCCTTCTAAATTCTAGGATCTTGCTGCTGCCGAACGAGCCAGAAAGAGTTTAGAGTCGGAAAGAGACGAATTGGCAGAAGAACTTGCGACTGTAACTCATAGCAGGTAACATTAGTACTGCGTAGAACTAGAAGCAACACTCTTGTCCGTCAGCTCATTAGATTAAATATTAGGACCACTTGCGACTTTTTCGCTAGGGGTCAACTACTTTCATTTCCGTACCTGTAGTTCGCATTAGTTTCTTGTGGTGTTACCACTTTTTCTGACTGGCCGTGGTAAATTTTTTTTTTTTTTGACACGATAAAATGGCGCACTAAATGTAGCGCATATTGACGGAATTACGATGAAGTCTTAAATCATTCATGTTGTTGGAACTGATGAGGAGAAATACCAAAAGGCATCTGACTTAAAGTCGCTTCAGATGTCGCGAATTCCGCCTGGTTTTGCCCATGACACAAAATTTCAGGAAATCTTTTTGCATCGAAGAAAGCTTCCATCAGCTAGAGAGGAAAAAAAATATCCTGAAAGTAAGCACAGACAAAAATGACTACAACGTACTGAGAAGAAACAAAAATACGAGGGATGGAGAACATTGGTTTGAATTGTAAATGGAAAACTTGACCAAACCATCCTGTTTATTCCTTCAAGACTCTCCTTCCAGTCCTTCAACTTTCTTTGTTTGCGTTCCAGGGGCTTAAGTGCTGATGAGAAGCGCAAACAAGATGCCCGCATCGCTCAAATGGAAGAGGAAATCGAGGAGGAAAGAACACAGAACGAATTGCTGTTGGAGAAATGCAAGCGGGCAAATATGCAGGTATGTGGGAAGAATTGTGATCTGCTGGAATCGTTTGATGCTCCTTGAGTAAAGTTTAGTTCATTGTATATTATTGTTGTTTTACAATAACAGATGGAACAATTCCAGACAGACTTGAACTCTGAGCGAGCTGCACTACAGAAGATGGAGAGCGCTAAGCTGACACTAGAGAAGCAGGTAAGAGAGACAAACGGCTGCCTCGTTTACCCTCGTAGGTTTTCGCCTTTTTTTCAGTGTAAACGGTGCGGTGCGCCCTCCGTTTTACCTTGATTTCCCTCGAAACCAACAAACACCTTCATTTGATTACTTATGCCATTATTTATTCATCAATTTGAATTTCTCATTTATTTATTTATTCCTTCATTTATTCATTGATTTAAATTTCTCAGTTACTTTGATTATTTTTTCATTTGTCATTCTTTCAGAACAAGGACATGAAGGTCAAATTAGTGGAGCTTGAAAGCCAGACGCGTGCGCGCAATAGGATGACCGTACAAGCACTAGAGAACAAATTAGCAACATTGCAAGAACAACTTGATGCCGAGGCCAAGTAAGTAATTCAAAATGCTGTCCAATCTTCGATCCGCGATCCGCAATCCTCTCAGCGTGTTAAAGTGGAGTCGTAAGCATGAAAACGAGGATGTAAAAATGCTTTTTTCGGCAATTGTTTGGCTGTTTAATTTTTCAAAAGTTATGGAGCTTAGAGGGTTAAGGCGAAGGAGCAAAGGAAAAAGTTCTCGTGTATAACTCTGTCTCTTCTCCACTCCACGTTGCTTAACCCTGTAACTCCCACGAGTGACCAACACAGAATTTCTCCTTACAACATCAATACAATATCAAGCAGAAGACTGTTGAGAATAAAGAAAACTATCAATAGGGGTATTTTTAGTTGATTCCAATATCAAATTCTCCAAACTTACATGATAAGAATTGTATGGCAGACGGTAAGGAGAATTGTTAAGAAGATCGTGGGAGTGAAAGGGTTAATTAAGTCCTCTGAAATTTATTTTCAATGACTTCTTTTACTTGATTAATGTTAATCACGTAAAACTAGACGGCCTAGAACGCTTTTAATATTTCTCAAAAAGGTTTTCATAAACCGGTTTGATGAAACTGGGAGATCAATTTCAATTTCGCCCCTACACCCCCTCGCCCCTACACCCCCTCCCCCCTCCCCTAGCCCAACAATAGTCAACTGATAACGAGTTAGGAGAGGGGAAGGTACCCAGATCCCCGACATTGATGCAAACTGGGTTACACCCAAAGAGGAAACTGCATCGAAAATGTTTAAGTACATATGATACATGTTTTTGTTCACAATGCTGTGCGTCTTGATTCAGGGAGCGTCAAACCTTGGGAAAGAACAACCGCAAGCTCGATAAGAAGTACAAAGAGGCAATTTTGCAAGCAGAGGAGGAGAGACGGCATGCGGACCAATATAAAGAACAGGTTTTTGTGGAATATTTACTTATTTTCAATTCGAGTCAAAAGTCGTTAAATCAAAGTTTTATTGTTAGCTCTGTTTTGGACTTATTATGTTATGTTGAAAACTCTGTGAAGTCTAAACAAATGAGTTGCTCAGGTGGATACCTCTTGATTTGCGTGCTTAAGAGTAAAAGGTTTTTCTCGACGCACTTTAATTAAAAACATCTTTTATTCCTTTAAGATAACGTAGTTGAGAAAGTTATTTTTAGTTCATCGTTTTCTCAGTTGCAAAATGACAAGAGAAATTCTTTTTTCAGATCACTGTTGTCGTTCGAATTTCATATTGAGACCTACCTCGCATGTGTTCTTTCCCTCTCATTGAATCTTATTGGAAGTACATGCGCAAGCCTCTTCTTAAATATGTTTTTTCCTCGTGTCCTTCAGATGGAAAAAGTAAACGCCCGCGTGAAGACCTTGAAGCGCTCTGTAGATGAGGCAGAGGAAGAGAATACACGGCTGAATGCTTCCAAACGCAAAATACAACGAGAATTGGATGACTACATTGAAGCGAACGAGGAATTGACTCGCGAAGTACAAAGTCTCAGAAATAGGCTGCGGTGAGTGCCGACCTTTTTGTTGTTACAATTTAAAATTTTTCGTCCAAAACTCTTTTTCTGCGTGTGTTTCAAGTTTCCTTTTCTGGAACTTTAAATTGTGCTTGGAATTCCTATGGGGTTGCAGCCTGAACAAGGACAGAGAAGTGGTGTGAGTAGTATAGAATTCACGGCATCTTATTTTGAGCGCGTGATTCGATAGGTGGTTCCGAGCGAGACTTCTTCTCGTTTACTTAAATGTTGAGGAAAGAACTTACCGCTCTTTCCAGTGCTCCGATGCGAAAGGATGGCTCATTTGCAAGACTTCAGACTTGAACAAAGTTTGCGCACCGCTAAGACCGTTCCTTGCAATTCTTAGCTTCTTTCTCTCTCTTTTTTTTAATATCTCAGGGGCCGCGGTGGTGGTACAGGTCGTACTGGATTCACCACTCCTCCAGAGCCAAGAAGAAAGACGACCCGCGCAGATAGGTCCGCCGATGGAGGGGATGGCGATATGACACCTGAACCCGACGCAGAATCATAGAATCCACCCTTTCCCCCCCCTCCCCCCACCGCCACTAATTCACCTAGCTTCAAATGTCTCTCTTTCGTTCTTTAGTTTCTCTCCAATTGTCGTGACTGGTTCTTTGTAATTTAAAATTTGGTTTCAGTTGGGTAGATTTTTTAAGGATTAGATTTTTCTTTGTGAAATAGTTCGATATCAGCTTTCGTAGTACAATAACTGGTAGTACACATTACGGTGAGTTTAGAGTATATAAGTCGCCTCAAAATATAATTCGCATATCAAGCGAATGAAACTGTGTGTTCTCGGTCGTATCACAAAATCTCCTCAGTCAATATTTTTGTGTCTTTTGTCAGTCTTTCTTTACAGTGATTTCTATCGAGCTCGTCACCTCAGACTTGAGAAAATTGCTATTACAGAAAGATAAACATGTAGAGTTTTTCAGACTAAATTAAAAAGAAAAAACTGAGAACCTATTTTCAATGAAATTTAAAACAGAGCTTTATCTTAGTAATCGCGTGAAGGATAAGAGAACCGGGGTAGTGGTACTAAGTAGAGTGGGAGACTGGTAATGATCTATATTATCGTACAATTCAAAGATTTGTGGAATGCATTTGTGGGGAAAACCAGACCTGATAATGCAGTAGAATGGTATAGTAGTTTTTCATGAGATTATGGTGCACGGAGTTTTGATATGTACAGTCCTAATGATAGTAACTCTCATTTCTGGTGGGTCGCGAGTGTTCCGCAGCATTAGTGTTGCGCGACCAAGCTCATCGATGCTGCGAACGAAACTAGTCACTGAGAAGATCTACCTTTTGACTGTGTGGACATTTATATTTGTGACATTCCTACTAGTCGGTTAGTTACTTAAATAAAAAGTTGAAGTCTGTTGAGGGTTTGTCACGTTTACAGCAGTTTGCAAGGCTTGTCACTCAACTCCAAAGTTATGCTGTGACGGAGAAATCCAAAACAGACTCAGTGAGGCCCCTGAGATAAACGCCCTAAAGTTATCGATAATTTCTATTTTATAAGCTGCCAATGTATGGTGATTAGAATAAAAATTTTGTTGAAGTACTTGGTTGGTGGTTTTGCACTCAAACGACTGTTGGGCTCTTGAAGTGGGTCTTATGGAGGAAATAGGGACGGTTTGCAATGCTTGAGACCTGCCCTTTGCGAAATCCTATCTCATTGGCAGCTTGAGCGAAATAAAAAAACAACTTACACTCCATCTCGAGGAAATTTTCCGCCTCACGACTCCACTCCTTCCACCCCCTTATAGTTTCGATGTAATGGCTCCCCACCGATTTTTGTTTCCACTTGAAAAGTAGCTTTCGTTTGTTTGTAATGTTTTGTTTTGATTTTTTTAGGGGGAGGGGGTTACCAGAATTGGAAAGTTGTCCTATTATATTGAAACTTTAGGCTTACGAATGAAATGACCGCCAAAGCTATGAGTTCAACATTTACTCGACGCTCGAAACGTCAGCTTCAAAACCTCTATTCACACTATCAACTCAGTTGATCAAACCAAATCATCCTGTTATACTCCCCACCGACACAACACCACAGTTTCTTTCGAAACTTACTCCCATTATACATTTAATCGAGTGAAATAAATCAACCTATCGACCCATTTCTCTTAGAAAATAAACATTTGCTGCAGGTCGGAAAGGGAAAATCGAATTTTCCGTGAAAACCTTTGGAAATTAAAGGAAATAATATCTTGTGACTCAGGATCTGATCTCCTAATTGGGGTGAGGACAGTATCTCTTGTCAGAGAATAAATTACCCTTCATGCTATGCGAGCGTCGTTACATCGCCTACCTTGTTTCGCACACGTGCATAAAACGTTTTCTACCTTGTTAGGTCGGCTAGCTATCTATTTAGTCCTCAGTGAAGCCCAACTCTGCCGAGAGGACCTAAAATCAGGATCATAACATGGTGAGACGATTTGAGTACGATCGTGGTGTGTATTTTATGAAGTTTGGCGTAATCGAAAAAATAGACGCGTACTTTTGACGCGACTCTACGAACTGCAATCTACAAATGGGGCGATCTCGGTGTTTATGCCTCCTTCATTGGGCAGAATCTCTGCAGTTTGATATTTCGCCAGAATATTAGGCATATTTGCAATTAGCAAGGTGGCGTGAGAATATTTAACACAAATCTTTAAGATCTCTAAAGTGAGGTTGAATTAAAAGCCTATATGTACAAAATGCCTTGAGCTGAAGCTCTGGTGTTTGTTGAGGGCAGAAATATACCATGCAGATGATCAACACTAGAACAAACTACCTGAACATGATTTGGGATCAGCAACCTGATTTCAGCACTGTTGGATTAAGTGTTTGTCATACTTGTAATTAGACAGCAAAACATGATTGTTTACACATGCTTCTGTGTACTGGACAATTCTTATCAGTTGTGGGTGTAGTTATATATTAGTTTGATTTTCTTGTGGAAAAATTTTATTTCAAAGGATGGGTATTTTTTTTCTGAAATTTTTGTCAAAGGTTCAATACATTGTTAATAGAACTTGGCATTGTGCAATTCTGTCCGTTATCTTGCTTATGGTAACAAATCATACTCCATCTTTGCAGCCGTACAATTTTCATCATCACTTGAAGTATGACAGACTTGACACGTATTTTTACAAATTTACTTAAAGTACTGATCTGGGTCCAGTCGTTCAAAGAGTACGTGTGGCTATCCCACAGATAAATCACTATCCACCAGATAAGTGTTAATTAACAAAACACACTGTGTTATCCACCAGATAGAGATTTGTCTAGGGGATAGCATTATTCACCCAATCATTAACCAGGTCCTGTCTCTCTAAGAGTGGACGGCAATAAGAAGTAGATAGAGATTTAATAGTCAGGTTATTATGAGGTTCACTTTGGTATTAATGATCCTTAGGCAAATGATGAAGTTAACCCAAAGGCCTTCCCATTAGCTGATCCTCAACTGACTGTGACCATCCTTGATCTCCTTCAGCAAGCTTCCTCATACAAACAGCTCAGGAAGGGAGCCAATGAAGGTAGTTATCTCCTTGAGATGTTGTTGTGTGTGACCACTTGCTGCTTATAAGCATTCAAAATTTTTTGGAATTTGTTAGGGACCAGTCATAATTTATCACAAGGGGGGAGGAGGGAACTGGAGGTTTTTGGTTGTGTTGTATTAAAATTTACCAGAAGACCCCTCTGGCAGTCAATTTTCTATAATTCCCCCCTTTAAACTGTATTAGAGACTACTTACCCCCTCTCCACTCCCCCTGAAAACTTTGAATACCCCTCCAAAATTCTCCAACCCCCACCCAGTTGATAGATAATGACTGGTCCCTTTTAGGAGCCAATTGTCCCAAACATTGCACTGGAGAGAGTTGTCTTCCCGAAATGTTGTCATTTGTTGTTTATATGCATCTGAAATTTCACATTCTTTTTTTTTAGCCACCAAGTGTCTCAACCGTGGTATTGCTGAGTTTATTGTTATGGCAGCAGATACAGAACCATTAGAAATATTGCTTCACCTTCCTCTCTTGTGTGAAGACAAGGTAAGGAAGTTGGTAAAAGTGTGGTAAGCAGACTTATTACAAATAATAAGGAACATTCTGGGCGAAAGAATCAAGAAACTTCCTGCTTTCTGCAAAGATAGGAATGTTGATATATATAATGCCTCAGTTACACTTCAAGCTCAATTGTTTAGAGCACCAGATTGTGTTGTGTGGGAGGTCGAGGGTTCAAGCCCTGGCCGGACCGATACTCATGGTCTTAAAATAAGTGAGGAGAATTTGCTACCTTTCTATAATCAAGAAATGGATGGATATTCTAGTCTTCTCGGCTAAGGATGAATAAACTGTAGGCCCCGTCTCCTGCAGGGTTAAGGGTAGGAGATGTTAATCTCCAACGCACGAGATTACTGTGTTGTGGTTGTCCTCCCCTGGGGTGGGATGGGTGGGAATTGGCCCTCAAAAGCCCCCATGGGGAGTGGTCAACTAACATATGTATGTATGTATGTAAGTCATGGTGGTAGTTCAATGTAAATAGAATGGAAGTGAAAAAAAGAACATAACAGCTTGCTTCATTTTTGCTTTTCAGAACGTGCCTTATGTATTTGTTCGTTCCAAGCAGGCTCTTGGTCGAGCGTGTGGAGTGTCACGGCCTGTCATAGCAACTGCAGTCACTATCAATGAAGGATCTCAGCTTAAACCACAAATTCAGTCACTTCAGCAGTCAATTGAAAAACTCTTGATATAAAACTGTATAAAACTTGATATAAAACTGTTGCTGTTTTTGGTAGTGCCCTCTAAGTCGATATCAATAAAAAATTTGTCAACAAAGTGTCATTTCTTTCTTGAAGTTTTTTTTTTTTTTTCCAAAAAGGAGTGTGTATATCAGTGTGGGAAAATGTTGCACCAATTGTATTGTGGCATTGGGGCTCAATGTGTTACTCCTACCAATTAAATGTGGGAATTAAGTTTGTTTGATGGAAGCATCCAAAAATTCAGGGAAACTGCCAAAATCAGACATTTGTGTCTGAAATTAGAATTACAGTAAAGCATTGAACAGGGTGCTGTAAATCAAAATTAAGAGTATTTCTTCCAAGGTTTTGATAGTTCCTGTTGGAAGAGTACTAACAGCTACAAGGTACTGGTTGTATATTATCAGTGAAACATGGAAAAGAAAAATAATTGAGAATATTTACTTTAATTTCCTCATACTTAAAAAAGTGTATTCAAATGATTATCTCTAAATGCAAATGTGCCTTTCTTTAAAAACAACACAAACAGATGCACAACATATTCAATTGACTGTATCAGCCTGGCAAACAAATTAATAGTTGAAAAAAGACAGCACAAATGGGCAAGATGAAAATTTTTTTTTTGTCGGGTAATTTACATACCATAAATAATTTCCATTTCAGTGACTGTATTGAAACATCTACATCGTTTACCTTTGAGGCATGTAACATTATTACATAGCCGAAACTAAACTTGCCACTTGCGTAAACGTGTTTTCAAATCAGGGTTTTTGGTTCTCAAGTATCTGTAATACGAGTACATGTCCTTGAGGAACAAACAGGGAATGGGTTGCCTTTGGTATTAGATAGCAATTTCTTGCGTTTCCGCGAATCTTAAGATTTGGAACGGAATTGAAACTCAAGACGGAAAATTTGAAACTCAAGGTATGGAAACTTGAATGACAAGTCAGTCGGGCTTAAGTCTGAAATTCCAAACAGTGCCGTATTGTGCTGAAGCGAATTTTAGGAGCTGCATTTGGCCTTATCTTTCGCGTTTTTTGAATCGAAGTCTGCTTTATGCAGTTAAGGTAAGCGGAGAAGAAGGATTTTCGAATGTGAAATTCACTAAAGACGAGCTTCGCGTGACTTAATTTATATCTTACTAAAATGCCCATTTGTTTTTGCTTAGGCGGTCGGTTCATCGAATTTTGGCGCATGCCGGCCGTACATATTAAGTTAAGGTACATAGATATGAAGCTTGGTTATAGTCTATCCTTGGGTAGAGTGCTCGATGCCTTCGCAGAGCGTGGTATATCTGAAGATAGGACTAATTGATAAGACAACTTTTTCTGTGACTCTGAGTTTCACGCTTACGCAGTCATCGGACAGTCTTCAAAATCTGTTTGATGATCGTGTAAGCCCTACATCAATTTCGTCTCGGGGATTATTCGACGATATTCACCTCGCCTTCGGCGAATAATTGTTAAATATATATCATACCGTTATTAATTCTACCTTGTTTCGAAAGTAAAAAATGGCAGTAGACCGTTTTTCTGTCATTTAATCGTTAAGGTCGTTAGTCTTGACTGAACTAAAGGTGCTTCGATTTTACAAGAATTCGTTTTATTCCTAAAAGGGAAGCTTCTAATTAATAAATATAAAACACGTAGGATTATTGTTAAGATCGTAGATTAGATGGTAGACAGCCAACAATGGAAATAATGTAAACTGACCACCGTAAAGAGTTTCAAAGCTGATCGGGATGTTTCGAGCCGGTTAGCCCTTTGTCAGAGCCTTTTGATGGTTTTGCTATCCCTTTCAGGTACTGGCTTGAGGCTCCGACAACAGATGATGGCACACCACAGTCGGAGGCACTGAAGAGCTAGACGATACCTACATTACCTACTTTTGGTCAGTTGACCTAAGATGAAAAATACCTCGAGCCATTCAAATTAATCCGGTTTTAACTGATTTCATTTTCGATGAGTCTCGGCCATGAAAGTATCAAAGGAACTCCACTTCATCGGGTAGCTTCCCAGGGCTGCAGACAAGTTGTAGAACAACTGATTCTATCCGGTGAGAAAGTAGACGCACAGACTAGGCGCGGACGCTCTGCACTTCATTACGCCTCGGAGAATGGGCACGCAGATATAGTAGCGCTGTTGATTAAATACGGAGCTAAGGTCGACCTCCCCAACAAGTGGGGAAGGACTGCTCTTCATTACGCAGCCAGTAAATACAGGGTAGATTCCTTGCAGGTCCTTCTAAAATGTGAAGCAGACCCAAATAAACAGGATGTTGATCGTCAAACTCCGCTGTTTCACGCAATAGCTGCTTCGGTAAGGTCACAAAAAGATGATAATGTTAGTCAGACTCTAATGCATTTGATTTCGGGCGGTGCAGATGTGAATATTCCAGACAAAAGTGGAATAACTCCTCTCCACATAGCAGCCGAACTCGGCGACGGAAAGATCTGCTTCGAGTTGATTAAGCAAGGAGGGGCGCACGTGGATGCAAGAGACCAACATGGGGCTACTCCCTTACACTTCGCTTCTTACCACCATCACTGGAATGTAATGGAAGCCCTACTTTCGTTTGGGGCTTGCTCCGCTATCCTAGACAACGCGGGCCTCTCGGCAGAATTATATATGCAAAAACGGAGGTACATGACCATTACAGATATGTCGATCTACCCGGAAAACGTTTTGCAGCAATTTCCAAGCAGAGAATTGAGAGAGACATTGAATAGTCGTGTAGAAAATATGGGCAGACCTTGTTTCGATGACGACATAGATGATTTTGAAAAGACTCAAGTTGAAAGGGAATTGCATTCCGGATTGAAATATGTCCCACTCTTCACCAGCGGTGTAACAGAGGATACTGATTTAAGTTCTTTACTCGTGCAATTGAACGAGACGGAGGGTTTGGGGCTAGTTAAGCGGACGCCGGAAGTGGAGTTAATAGAAGAAGACATCAAGTTTTACATCGAAACTGCTTTAGGAAACATGGTCCGGGCGCATCCAAAGTTTACTTACAAGCTTGTACAAGCCGGCAGCACTGTGGAAAACACTAAGGTTGGTGAACCCGATGAGGTTGATTATATGTGCATTCTGACGGAACTTTCGAAAGCATGTTATGTTTTCGAGTCTTCCAATGATCCGCCTGGATATTTGAAAATATGTGTAAAAGACCGAGAGAAGGAATCGTGGAATGACTTCTTGGATGAAGATGATTATCTGATTGCAGAGAGGTTGCACATCCACTTTCATTCCCTTTTTGACAGACACTCCGAGGAAGCTGACCTCACTGCGATGTCCACACGATTACACAAGCTTCGAAGCTACAGTAGCGGCCGAAATAACGTTGGTGTTACTGTGGATAACTCTCAGACTAAGCCTGGGTCGCGGTTGTTCTTCCTATGGCGTGGATGTCACTTCAAGTGGATGATAGTAACAGTTGATCTCATTCCGACTATAGAAATCGTTGGTTGGCCCGATAATGCCCTTGTACCTGCCGAAAAGGGATTTGAATACTACCATGTTATACCCAAAGTTTCGCCAACAATCCAGAATAGTCCCTCAGCTTGCCTGTATTGGCGCATTTCGACTTCCATGGCTGAAAAACATATTATAAGCAAACTAACGAGCCCTGCGCATGCTTGCTATACAATATGCAAGTCTCTAAAACAAATTTCTGATCTGGACGTGTTGTTTCACGAAAACTCATCTTCTAAGGAACTGCAGATGCTATCGCAAACTCTTCAACACTTACGGTTGTACGATGGCTTTATTAACTCTTATCTAATCAAAATGATCTTTTTCCGAGAGATCGAGAATTGTAAAGTGACTTCGGGTTGGAGTTGGCAGACTGTCGGAAACTGGGTGTTACATATACTTGCTACATTGCTGGAGGAGCTGAAACGCCGTCATGTTTCGTCGTATTTTCTTCGAAATTATAACGTGTTGAACGTTGATGGTTTGAAACATTCTGTCAACGAACACCTAATACATTCAGTGGGACAAAATAATCTCGATCCCCAATCGCAAAAAATGTTGCAAATTACTGCTCCGACTTTGTGATTTCGTCAGATCTTTATTAACTTAACATTACGTTTTACCTTTGTTCAGATTGATCCTTTAATTTTCATGAGTGACCAAGACAGAATTTTTCCTTACAACATCAATACAATATTGAGGAGACAAGTAATAAGAACAAAGAATAATATAAATTAGGGGATTATTCGTTGATCTATCGCCAAATTCTCCATACTAACCTCATAAGAATTATATGGCAGACAGTAAGGAGAATTGCTAAGGAGATCTTGGGAGTGAAAGGGTCAAGGATTACACTCGCCTCCGACATGTAAATTTTCAGCATGGCCTTCCCCCCTCCCCCCTCCCCCCCCCCGTAAAGTATGAAAGAATATTGGATGAAATCATCATAAGATAAACACATAACTTTGTTATTTATATAGCGCAAAATACATGGGTATATGATCTAATGCGCTTAAATCAATACATAAGTAAATGAATGGATAAATAGTAAGATTAAAAGTGAAATCGAGTATAGTAAAGCCTTGTATTTTTGTTCCATCGATAAATCATCTTGTCATTTGACTTTTACGAGGTGAACAGAATTTTGAGCTTGTGTGTAGATCTCTTTTTCTTTTGCACAATTCATGGATAAATAAACAATCATGGATAAATAAACAATTCATGGATAAATAAACAATCAGCCAATATACACGGAGAGACAACTCATACACCCATGCTTGTTTCTGACGTTTAACAGGAGTTCTCTGGATTTGAAATGTCGAGAAAAACCCTCAAATTGTGTACAGTCAATCCATAGGTACCGGTAATTTTTTATCACCGCCTGCGTGGGGGGCCTACGTGGGGGGGGGGGAGGTTATCTGATTCTCCTCTTAGCCTCTATACTATTCTTAGTCCCCCCTTTTATACTCAAATACAATTGGTTCTAACATATATTTTCGTTTTAGCGATTTAGGAAAAATTAAGCAAAGAACCGTTATTCTGCACGGCTTAATTGTATCGCTTTTAAGTGACGGAATAACGGAACCATCGCTTGGCAGATCGTTGGTCTGTCGAATGTTTAAGCTTTTTATCCACTCGGACGCACTACGTATAATTATACTTCCTGTTTGAAGAAAGCCTGGGAACTAACCCACATACATCCAAGATGGCGCCGCAGGACAACTGGTAAGCCCGAAGTTTCCAACAAATATTTCCTTCAAACACTTACTTATGATAGCTGTTTTAATACAAACCTTTTTTTGTACATATTTTGAGGATATCTTTGGTTATCTGAAATACTAAGACTACAATGGCTCACTAATTCATCATGAATTATGTTCCCTTCCGAATCGAAGAAAATGTTCCTCCTAATTTTCAAGATTGTGTTTGACCGTTTTGAGGTTTATAAGTTAATCAAAAAAAGCGATCTTCAAAAGACTTTGGGTGATATTTTAGTGCTCCTTGTAGTCATTAGTAAAATTTTGTTTGAGATTTACGATGCTACTGACTCAATTTGATAGAAAGTTGGATCATGTGATCATGTTCTATATTATCGTTTTGAATTTCCTTTGCTGTTCTTTGTCATAGATCCTGAGGATTTTACTCAGCCACAAATGTCGTAAAATTAAGAGGTTTCCTTCTTTTCTTTAACAGGTTGAGTGAATTTAAATCAGTCGAGAAGTATGGGCAGGATATTATGGAGAAAATTAATGAGAGAAATGAAATAAGGCGAAATGGAGGGAATTATAACAAGGTGATCCCTGTGGGATATGAGCATTTTTACGTTGATAAAACTGTAACAACTGTTGTTGTTGTTTTTTCTTTTTTCAAACATAACTGTGCCTTTGAAACTACCAGCATATATACAGTTGTAATTGCCCTCTGTCAGTCCCTGCTCTGTAAAAAATGTATTTGTTTTATTTGGCAGGTCCAGTCAGATGTAAGGATTATGTTAAAGACCTTCTCAAAGGATCTCAACAACTTAAAGCAGTCACTTTTACGAGCCTCCTCTTCTTATCATGTGTATCCTTTTGTCTGGATGATCTCTGTAATTTCACCATTAACTCTTAATCCCTAAGAGTGACTAACATCTAATTTCTCCATGCAATATCATCCCTGAATAATATATTGAGGTCACGAGAATTAAGAAAATGATCACCAACTAAAGTAGCTTTTTTTTGTTCAACAAATTCTCCCTTGTCAGCACCTCAGGAAATGTATAGAGAATAGTATGGAGAACATGCATACTG